TTATGCAGACTACCTCTAAGTTAGTTCCATCAAAATCCTGCAGTATCAAGGATCAAACTGGAGATGGAACATAAAATCAGTACCCAAAGATCTGAATTTCTATTCTTTATATAGCTTAAATTCCTGTTAAGAGTTAACCAGCAAAAAAATAAGCAGAAAAATACATTCTGGACTTCAATTCAGACTCTTCTCTTTCATTTCAGGAGAATAACAGACAAATGTACTAAAGAAATACTTTAGCTACCAGGTAAATAGACTGGTTCCTTAATTAGCAGAAAATTCAAGCCTGCCAGGGGCTTTTTGCAGCAGAACTTCACATGTTTAAGGAATGTGCAGTTTTAAGTAGCTGGGTAACCCAAGTGCAAACGTGCCTAGGACTCTGCTTCTGGAGAAGCCCTGAGAGACAGCAGTATGAGTCTTGCTACCAGACCTGCACCTGACTTTTGGGTACTTCTTAAGAGAGCTTCCCAGTGCTTACTGCTCTTTTTGAATGTCTGCCCCAGCACATGAAATTTAATGAAAGTGAAAATCTGTGGTACTTCCCAGTAAAATGCAATGCAGCATAGGTAATTCTATTTGAATGAAGTCCTCATTGAACAAAAACATGCATTTGTCATTATATGTATTCACCTGCTATCTAGCATGAAAGAAACACTTTTTAAGAGGCAATAAAATGAGGCATATGACAGGAAAAAAAAAAAAAAAATCTAACAGGTAACTTAAGCAATTAAAAACATCAATACTCAGAATTAGTCCCTGTACATTACATAGCAGAAATAAACTCCACAACTGAATGTTGTTTCCTTTCATTCAAGTAGTTCATTCCAATTAAATAATGCATTTGTAATTCTCTGTAAAACAGAAGTTTGTTGCAAGTTGTGGCTAAATTAACTAACATCTTCCTTGTGATTAGTCTTAAATTTAAAAAACTACAGTAAATCACAGGCTTTCAATTACTACGATGGATTGTTAATTTTGCTGCAGTGCCTTTAAAGTAATTCATAATGTGTTTGTTCTGGAATAAACTTTAGCTCATGTAGAGCTTCAAAAATAGCAGCTAACAGAAATCCTTAACTTGAAGGTTGGCATGCCCCTCTGCATGAAAATGCACAAAATAAAAACACAAACATGAACCTATGCAAGACAAATGTAACTAAGGAAATATGGTGAGTAAGTTTTAGATTGAAAATTTCCAAAGGATTCAGAAGAGCCTGTCTCGAACACGCTTTCTGTCAAAACCAGAACTAAAGCAGACCACTTTGTGCAGCAAACATCTCAGTTCTTTACACAGTAAAAATTATTTTCTTGAATTTGATACATTCATTCGTAGCTCCAGAATTACAGATGTTGCATACATCTTAAAGATTTTCAATTACAGTATGATTTAATGACTCAAAAGTAATGCCAAACCTTATAGTTGATTTTACTGAAGAGGTTTTTTTATTTAGTAACTGAGACACAGCAAATGTTTTTTAATTCCTCACTTCCTACTCCTCACCTTCCCCTTCCACATCTCCCTTAATGCAGTGACTGCAACAGCAGAATATTACACTTGCTTGAAACATGAGACTTAGTACATTCAGTAAAATAAATACCTTCACATTTACCTTATTTCCTAGTAAACATCTGCATTAAAAATAAGTACTACATATATACTTAATACCTTGCTTTGCAGCTTTACATTTTTTTGAATACTTTATAGCTAGCATTCAAATCTATGTTTTCAAAAATTTCTATTCTATATTATTTCAAATACATGATCTTAGTCTATTTTATCCTCTCTGTAATGCTGAAGTAATAATTTTCCTCAGTTGCTGAAAATCAAACAAAATGGAAAATGCTAATTTATCTGATAATAAAGTATAAAAACTCAGTACACAAAGCTACAAAAGAACATATTATTATATGCTTAGTCTCAATTGTGTGATGAAGAAATCTAATGCTTTTCCAGAGATTTCTTTAACCTGAGCAAATAAGATTTTGCCACATATATAAACTATATTTTAATTTTACTCTCTTTTCTCAAAACCAGTATTGTGATACCAATTTTAACTAATGCACTATATTCCTATTTATTATCCAAGCACATCTTAAAGCCAACAACTGAAGCTACAGGTTTTTTGTTTTGTTTTGTTTTGTTTTTAATAGCAGCAATTAAGAACTTGATTGCTTTCTGAGAAGAGGCCACTTCTTTAGAAGTGAAGTCATTTATAATTGTTCTCTTGGAAGATTTCAAACTAGATTAGCCCATGGATTCTTCTTTAAAAAACTGTTCTACGTTTTAAAATACACAACCTATTTCTTTCACCAAAATGGAATAGACATTAATAATGTGCTACAAGCACTGTACGTGTACAGTGCTATCATCAACAACTCTGGAGTAAGGCAAGCTTTACCTATTACATATTGAGCCACCTGAAATATACTTGCTTACCCTTGTTTCTTCTAAATATGGTTAAGTTCTAAAATTAAGTTAAGTTTTTAAAATTTTGCTCTGGTGACTTACGGAGCCCTCTCTGTAGGGAGGTACTTATTAATCAAGCAATTCCTTTGCAAGATCTATCATTCTAAGTGATTCATACAAGATTGCAATAAAGCACTTATGAAACTTATTTAATGTCTAAACTATATACAACTTTAAAAGATTCACTAAATTAAACAAAAGAAAAACATCATTACATAAATGTTTTCTAAGTCAAGCAGGAAAGGTCACCACTAAAAACAAATAGATCCTTTAAAATGATTTTCTGAGTTTGTTTGAAAACTTATATTTCACATCAAGCTTTAGAAACTCCTGCATTTAACATTAAGCCTTCATTTTCAAGCAAATATTTGATTACTCCTTAAGATTGAGCACAAAATATTGTTATAGGTACCCTCTGGTTTCACAATAATTAAGTTTCAAGCACACATTTTAACTCCTTTCACTGAAGTCTTATCTTCTTTAAAAGTGCTGTGTCTCCATGCCTTACACTAAACTTAGCTGGGTCAAATATAAAATATTAAAATCCCTCCATATTTTACTTGATTTCTTCTCAAAACTCAATTACAGTTCATTTGAGTAGGAAGATTGCTAAAATCCACACTTTTCTCTAATTACAGATATAGGCTCCTTAGTGTCATTTATAACGTTAAAGATAAGACTTTGCTGCATTTTAGTGTATGTTTGCAATTACCTTTTCACTGTTTGACTAATTCTGTTCAACTAATTTGTAAATCTCAAATCATCTGAGGAAAAGCAAGTTTTAAATTAATCATCTCTTAAAAACTAATACGGAAAATAAGGCAGAAGATTTAAGAAAATATTATTTCAAAAAAATCCAAACAAAGGATTAGAAAACATTAATTTCCATTTCTCCTCCCGTGCAGGACTGCTATTCTGCTTCCAAGCCTAATTATGAGGACAGTCTGTGACAGAATTTGTTGGGTTGGAGCATTTAGTATGCTTATTTTTGGCCCATCTAAATTACTACTACAATCTTTTCATGTATTAGACATACCACTATTTTTCTACCAGTTTTAAAGCGCAACTCAAATATACAGTTCTTCACAGCATCTTCTCACCTTATCTTTAATGTCTCCACATATGGTATTTAACTTCTAGGAAAAACCTGAAGAAGGAAACTAATTCACCGCCTTTTTCACTGTAAAATTGTTCCCAGGACTCTTTCCTGTAACAAAATGATCTGCATCTTTTATTTCTTGCTAACAATAGGGCTGAAAAAAGCCTTTTATCTTGTCATGGGCAATTAGAAAACTGTTGCCATCAGTTCTCACCAGAATAACCGTAACAGCAATCATTGCAACATTCCACCTCTATTTCACAGTTTGGTAATGAGGAGAATCTAGGAGTACCGAGAAATAGCAGATTGCCTAGCTATGAGAGTCACATGGTTACTGATGAGCTCATACATGCACTCTGCCTCCAATTTGGAAATAAAAATAAAATCTGGCACATAACCCTTGAAACTGTACCAACTTCTACATTAATTATATGCTGTAATTGATAATAAAATCAGCTATTCTGAGTACAAGATATATCTACCCAGGACACAACCTGATTCTAAAGATACGTGTTGCTTGTATATATCATTGATTCTGACTGTTCTTGTAACTCTGATTCTTTGAAATAAATGAAGAGACGTATTTTGAAACAAACCTTCCAGTTAAAAACAATTATATCTGGGCTAAAGAAGAGACCTTGTCCAGAAAAACGTTGTTGAAGCATATGGAACCTAAATACAACAGTATTTTTTATCTGAACTTACTATGAGATCATTGTAATAAGAGCTCAGCTAATTCAATTAAAATCCACTTTCTGGTTGCTAAACTCCATTATTATTCTTACAAGAACTGTGAGCAGTTTCTACAGTTTTGCAAAGAGGCCACAATGCCAGCTGTAAAGTAAAAATCAGCAGAAGTTGCAGCCAACAGCAGCTATTCAATGGCAGCTATTCTACACTTTAATTAGATTTCTGCACCTACTAGAACAACATTCAACAGATTTATTTTTTTCTTCCCTTCTGTTTCAGATAAGAAACGTGATTATCAAACCCTTTCATGATCTGCATTAACGGAGGTAGCATTATTATATTTTTAAAACCATAAATTCCTCATAATCCACATTTCAGCTCATGAAATTAATGATGCTGATTTAATTACTTTTAGGATGCTCCTGTAGATTTAATATTATTAAATCGTTGGTTTGTTTATCTTTCTGACCTGTTCTAAAATATTGACAATTCAACCTGACAAGAGAAAATTAATTCTCTTGTGTTAGAAAAACAGATTATCTTGGTTATGTACATCTTAATCCACAGTGTAAATGTGTTTGGCAGGTCAATAAGTGACTCAAGTAGAAATTTCTGATGCAATGTTTCCTCTAAATAAATTTTTGTTTCTCTTTTTTAAAAACACATTTTCTTTGTTATAATCATGATGACAAAGTGATGAAAATAGAACTTTTTAAAATCTTCCTAAGGTCAAAGCATCAAACCTACCTGACTAGATTTTCATTGTCTCCAGTCCCTTTGCAGGTAGCACATTCAGTCCTTAAATCCTCTGACTTGGGCTTCTTTTGTAGAACAGACTGTCGCTGTCTTCTTTCTCTGGGAATCCGTTCCTGTCATAGAAGAAGGCATAAGAAAGGAATGGGGGAAAGGAGGAAGGGAAAGCAAATATTTTCAATTATAGCACTGAAAGTAACACTTCAGCCCAAGTTTAATATTTTTCTGAAACTGTTAAAAAACCAAAAAACACTATATTCCAACCTCAGGTTTTTCTTCTTCAGGTACAAAGCTTCGTTTTCGTCCTCTAGTTCTCTAGAAAAAAAATATATTTAAAATTTAATATTAGGTAACAGAATGTTTTTGCTATTTATCTATTATTCATAATAACAACAAAAACATACTTTAAGCATTAACTGCAGAACCACTGCAAGACAACTGCATCAACTAGTGTTAGAACAACAGCTTCAGATTATGGATGTAAATCTACAGAATTAGCCCAAAAGTAAGTATGAACATGTTTGTTGACCTGAGCAGGTGGAGTCTTATTCTAAAACAGACTGCTGCCAGAATTACAAATCTCTTACGGACTTTGCACGAACTTCACAGTAAATAAAATAATTTGAAAATTGATATGAACAGTAAATTACAGTAAAATCCTTCAGCACTTACAAGTGCTCCATTTGCAAGCCAAGTGATCGGATAAGAAACAATCAAAATTAAAAAAACTTCATCAAAACAGAAACAGAAAATAATTCTTTTACTTTTTGAGAAGTAAGCAAGAATTAAAGCTTTCAAACTGAAGGTTAATAGAAGGGGTATGTAGCAGATGCTCATAAAGTTGCAGCATACACCAATCTCTGAGTGGTAAACAAGAGATGAAATGGATAATATACAAAAAGTGGAAATTATTTCAGTATTGCAGTTGGCCAAAACATCTCAATACCAACAGTGTGGAGGAAAAGAGGTTTCCATAGACTGTAACAGCAACTATCAAAGGTTTATGTGCAGTTTCAAGTAACTACACAAAAACCTCCCATGAGTCCTGCTTCAGTCAACACATTTTTATCTCTGAAATAGCAGTATTATAATCTGCATGTGTTAAATAACAGATCATCACAAACTGATGATGTCACACTCTCTCCTCATTTTTTAACAAGGAAATAAAATTAGGAGATGCGGAAGGAAAGGGAAAACATCAGACTATTCCACTAACTCACAACGGCCGATACTTTGACAGTAACAAAATAAGTAGATAAACATTAAATTGCTTCTTTTTCTGGATGGAAATAATCACTTTACGAAGCCATGTGTCATATGTCATAAAGAAACAACTGTCTACAGTTTCCTAAAACTTTTTTTCAAGCAGCCAATATTAATCTGAGAAAAAGTAAAAATCATCTGATTAAAAAAAAATATCTTAAACCAGTTTAGAATCATGAGCAGCCATAAATCCAATTCGGAAGAAGCTGGTGATATGACGTTTCTTCTGTCTTGGGTCCGCTTTGAAGGGGATTTATACTAGTTTCAAATTAAGACTGTTCACTATATTGAAATGTTTTACACATTTAAATACAATTACATTGTAAATAAACCTGCCACTTCAACACATCTGGACCTTTCACCTATGCAGATTTTTATATGAGCATGTTAATAAACATACTGTTTAGGAAGTTTTTTTGTTTTAGGCAAGAGTTAACTCTGTATCAGAAAGAAATGTAGTAGAATGAAAAACACTAGTTTATTTGTGCCTCTGAGATATTTTAGTTACCTTTGAAATTCTCTTAGACATTTTCCTAAAGATGACTTACAAAAAATTTGTAAAACCTTCACTTTTATTTACTAGTTCTTTACTATATATTGGGTAATACAGTCATAATTGAGGTATTCTACCTTCCACAAGCCACACAAAAGACATCTAAGTGTCCAAATGTGGTATAAACAATTTATCACAGCTAGCAGAATTTATTAAAGTAGTATTTGAGATATTAATGTAACATGGGCTACATGTCAACCATATTTTACACAAACCAAGCTCACTGTAAATCAAAGTTTGATCAGACACCAGCATATTAACTGCCAATTTTAGTATTTTTGACCTCTGGCATTAGTCCTAAGAACACTTAAAAACTTTGAAAATTTTAAGTCATGTAGGCCCTTCTGAATGCCGATCTGTCTTGGAAAATTACATATAATTTGGAAATATAGGAATGAAAGAAATATTTTTTTTCTACCCTAGGTGGAAAAGACTATGAGTTAATAATAATATTTTAAGAACTGATCAATCTTATTTAAGCTTGAGTAAAATGGACATACAATATTTATAAATAATTTAGTCACCTTTGTCAAGAAAATGTTGCTTTTCATCTGTCTGCTATATAATGTGTGATGCATATTACAAGGAATGTCACATTAAATTATACTTCCATTACATTCCTAAACCTTCAAACATATCTGAATCTGTTTGACAACCACTAGAAACAAACATAAAAATCAACACCTTTGACATACACATTTGTGGCATATATTACATGCTTTTAAAGCAACATAATTTTACATTGATGTTTTCCCTAATTAATTTCCACACTTAAACATACATGGAATGCTAACTTTTGCTCAGACTCATTATACAATTACCAGTACTCACAATGGAAAATAACATCAAATTCACAACTAAAAACTGAATATTGTGATTTTCAGCAACAGCCTTCTGGTACTTTAGGCATTTGTAATTTTATACATTTTCACTACATTACTTTACAGGTTCAAAGAAAATAATCAGATAAACCTGGATTACTTTGTGCAGTATTTTTCATTGCTTTTGCCTCAAAGCACTATACTTGCATTTTAAAATGCTTAGAAAAATTTCTGTCATTAGTGGGCTCAGAGTCAGAACAATAGAGCTTATGAACATCAGATTATTAGATCTGTATGTACTTGCCATAAACAATTTAAAATTCACGATTTCGTATAAAAGAAAAGCTTAAAGGAACAGTGTAATTATAGAAGTCCAATCATAAATACTACAACTGTGATAAATATTCATATTATTATTAGTTATTTAGAAACACAGACTTTAATCCAGTATAAGATGCATATAAAGACTGTTTTTTTAAATGAAAACACTTGGCAATGCAGTACTACAGAGATATCTTCACAATTTAAGACTTCTCTGTCATAGAATCATAGAATGCTTTGAGTTGGAAGGGACCTTAAAAATCATCTAGTTCCAACTCATCTGCATGGGCAGGGACACATCCCACTAGACCAGGTTGCTCAAAGCCCCATCCAACCTGGCCTTGAACACTTCCAGGGATGGGACCTCCACAACTTCCTTGGACAACCTGTTCCCATGTCTCACCACCCTCACACTAAAAAATTTCCTGCTTGCTTTTCATCTGTCTGCTATATAATGTGTGATGCATATTACAAGGAATGTCACATTAAATTATACTTCCATTACATTCCTAAACCTTCAAACATATCTGAATCTGTTTGACAACCACTAGAAACAAACATAAAAATCAACACCTTTGACATACACATTTGTGGCATATATTACATGCTTTTAAAGCAACATAATTTTACATTGATGTTTTCCCTAATTAATTTCCACACTTAAACATACATGGAATGCTAACTTTTGCTCAGACTCATTATACAATTACCAGTACTCACAATGGAAAATAACATCAAATTCACAACTAAAAACTGAATATTGTGATTTTCAGCAACAGCCTTCTGGTACTTTAGGCATTTGTAATTTTATACATTTTCACTACATTACTTTACAGGTTCAAAGAAAATAATCAGATAAACCTGGATTACTTTGTGCAGTATTTTTCATTGCTTTTGCCTCAAAGCACTATACTTGCATTTTAAAATGCTTAGAAAAATTTCTGTCATTAGTGGGCTCAGAGTCAGAACAATAGAGCTTATGAACATCAGATTATTAGATCTGTATGTACTTGCCATAAACAATTTAAAATTCACGATTTCGTATAAAAGAAAAGCTTAAAGGAACAGTGTAATTATAGAAGTCCAATCATAAATACTACAACTGTGATAAATATTCATATTATTATTAGTTATTTAGAAACACAGACTTTAATCCAGTATAAGATGCATATAAAGACTGTTTTTTTAAATGAAAACACTTGGCAATGCAGTACTACAGAGATATCTTCACAATTTAAGACTTCTCTGTCATAGAATCATAGAATGCTTTGAGTTGGAAGGGACCTTAAAAATCATCTAGTTCCAACTCATCTGCATGGGCAGGGACACATCCCACTAGACCAGGTTGCTCAAAGCCCCATCCAACCTGGCCTTGAACACTTCCAGGGATGGGACCTCCACAACTTCCTTGGACAACCTGTTCCCATGTCTCACCACCCTCACACTAAAAAATTTCCTGCTAATGTCTAACCTATATCTCCCCTCTTCCAGTTTTGATCCATTACCTCTTGTCCTCTCACTACAATCCCTTGTAAAAAGTCCCTCCCAAGCTTTCCTGTAAGCCCCCTTCAGATACTGGAAGGCCACTATGAGGTCGCCCCAGAGCCTCCTCTTCTCCAGGCTGAACAACCCCAACCCTCTGAACCTGTCTTCATAGGCGGGGTGCTCCAGCCCTCTGATGGTCTTTTTGGCCCTCCTCTGGACTTCTCCCACGATCCATGTCCTTCTTATGTTGTGACCTACAAAACTGGACACAGTACTCTAGGTGGGGTCTCACAGGAGTAGAATAAAAAGGGAGAATCACCCCCCTTGACCTGCTGGCCATGCTTCTTTTGATGCAGCCCAGGACACAGTTGGCTGTCTGGGCTGCAAGCACAGTGCCAGCTCATGGTGAGCTTGTTGACCACCATCACCCCCAAGTCCTCCTCTGGACTGTTTTCAATCCATTTTCCACCAAGTCTGTATTTTTGCTTGGGATTGCCCCAACCCTTTCACTTGGCCTTGTTGAACTTCATGCAGTTTGCATTAGCCCACCCCTCAAGCTTGTCAAGGTCCCTCTGGACGGCATCCCTTCCCTCCAGTGTGCCAAGGGTGCACTCAACTCCACTGTCCATGTTGCCAACAAAGATGTTAAATAGCACTGGTCTGAGTACTGGCCCCTGCAGAACAATGCAAGACAGTGTTGAAGGCTTTGCACAGGTCCAGGTAGATTATGTTGGTCGCTCTTCCTTTGTCCATCAATGCCACAACCCCACTGTAGAAGGCCACCAAATTTGTCAGGAAGGATTTGCCCTTGGTGAAGCCGTGTTGGCTGTCACCAGTCATCCCTTTTCCACATGCCTTAGCAGAGCCTTCAG